TGAGAGCTTGAAATTTGGCTATGGAACCAATAACATTTTCTTTCATTGTAACTAAAATGGTCACAAGTGGCTACCATCTTGGACAGTGATGCTTTAGGAATATACAATAGCTTTCTCATCCTAAAAGACACACACATATACACATACACATCTAGCCACCTGGCTGAGGCTTATGCCCATAAAGTTGGTGGAAAGAACAGAGTTTTCAAATTCAATCACATGCTATTTTTGTAATTAGCTCTCTGTCAATTCCAAGGAATCAATTCAGGTTCTTTGTGCTCCTCTTGGCTGGGGCAAGAGTTCAGGCTTCATAATACCTGACAGAGGTGCAAGAGGATGGAACAGTCTAGCAGCCCTGAGATACTGCACGCCCAGCCTGCCTCGGTAGGAGACCACTGGAACATTTGTCACTCAACTTCTCCACGTCACCCTGTCTAGGAACATGACAGGAAGCCTCAGGTTTGATTCCAGTCAAGGGCATGTACCTGGGCCGTAGGCTCAATCCCTTGCCCCCCACAGGAGTGCGTGTGCAAAGCAACCAGGCAATGTGTGTCTCTTATCGCTCTCTATCCTAAAAAAAAAAAAAAAAAAAAAAATCAGCCGAAACCAGTTTGGCTCAATGGATAGAACGTCGGTCTTCGGACTGAAAGGTCCCAGGTTCAATTCCGGTCAAGGGCATGTACCGTGGTTGTGGGCACATCCCCAGTAGGGGGTGAGCAAGAGGCAGCTAATCGATGATTCTCTCTCATTGATGTTTCTAACTCTCTATCCCTCTCTCCTCTTCTCTGTAAAAAATCAATATAAAATATATTTTTAAAAAATCAATAGGAAAAATATCGTCAAGTGATGATGATGATGATGATGAGGAAAGAGAGAGAAAGAGAAAGAGAGAGAGAGAGAGAGAGAGAGAGAGAGAGAGAGAGAGAGAGAGAGAGAGAAAGTAAGTCAAGCTATGTTATTCATTGAAGAGGAGGGCGCATCTAGGAAAGGTTGTGGCGAGAGAGCCTCTGCTCCTAGTACAGAACCTCCTCTTTTGTCTGTATTGGAATTCATTCTGGGAAAGGTTTAATTTGCTTTGACAGAGTTTGATATCCTGTGGTCTGCATGGTCTCTCAGATGTCCTCTGTGCTCAGTCCCGCAGACGCGAAAGGGAGAATGGAGAGGAATGAAATGATAAATCTGAATAGACTGGGCCATCCTCAGGACCACCACACACTAAAAATAAACTCAAACCTTAGGTCCCCAACACTGTCAAGTCACTATACCTGCTCTTGTGTTAATGAAAGTATTATGTGAAAGAGAAACTTCCATCATTTTAAAGCAAATGTATTTTGGCCCCTTTATTCAAAAGACTAGACCAGTGGTAGGCAAACTGTGGCACCCCATGCTGCTGGCAAGCCAAAGTTTGCAGCTCTGTTGACTAATGAGTTTGCTGACCACTGGACTAGACTGTCCCTATATATATGTGTGTAGACTGCAGCATTATTTTTAAAAATGAAACTTTATAGAAATTTTAGTCCTTTTTTATTTTGGGCTCTTCGAGCTTTCTACAAATCATCTTTTCAAAATAGCAAATCAAACTTTTTCATATATTTGTTAACTAATGGCAAGTGTGGTTGTATTATTTTGGCACAGGCATCCTTTGTTTTTAATCTAAGAATGTAGGTGAATTCTTTTATTAAAGTATATTTTTTTATTGATTTCAGAGAACAAGGAGGAGGGAGAGAGAGACAGAAACATCAGTGATGAGAATCATTGATGGGCTGCCTTGTGCACTCCCTCCACTGGGAATTGAACTCAAAACCTGGCCTGTGCCCTGACCAGGAATTGAACCATGACCTTCTGGTTCATAGGTTGAGGTTCAACCACTGAGCCACGAAGGCATGAAATTCTTTAGTTGTCCTAAAATTATTATTCCACAGCTTGCGTTCTTAGCTGCTGAGATGTATTGAGAATGTGCTATGTATTAGGCACTCTGATAAGTCCTTTGTGTGTCGTATGGTGTCATTTATGACAGAAACTTTATCTGTTAGGTTAATATAATTATCCCCATTGAACAGATGAGGAAGAACATCACTACATAGAGAGATCACTACTCAGGGGGTCTAACATGAGGCCTATGATGACCAAGGGAAGAAGTTACCCTGGAATCTCACGATCAGGAACACGGGTGCCTTGAAATGCTTGTATTGTCCCAGTGGTGACTGTAATTCATGAGCTGCACCTGTAGAAGTCTTTGCTTTGGTTGCTTAAAAATTGGGGTCAAATTAGTGGTAGGAGTTAGGTAGAAAAAATCTAGTAAAAGTGACTCAACTAGATACTAATGGCTTCATTCAGCTGATGTTTGTTTCCGTAAGACCAGGTAATTCTGAGCTGAAGCAGAAGGGATGTACAGGGGAAGAGGATGAGAGGACCATGTACAGGGAAAGAAGACCGGTTTGAAAGGCTGGGAATTGGTTGAACTTGCCTGTTGCTTGGATACTTGGCGCAATCCCATGTAGCATCAGAGTTCTTTCAGAGATGTTTTTGTAGACTTTGTTGTTTTTTACATTTTAGGGTCATAGGAGCTAACAAAAAAATACAACAGGGCAGAGGGAAAAAAGTTTAAGGGGGCAAGGCTTGAAGCAAGGAAAACTGGGGTTTATTTTAATTAATCTACATTGTCTCCTCTTAGACAAAGGGAAGTCATGGAAAACCTGAAGAGCTTGCATCAGTCCCTTCTATTTTATTCCGTCTTTATTGTTGAGAGTATTACTGAGGTCCTCCCTTGCACCTCCCACTGGCCCTGCCCTCCCCAGGGCTTCACCATCCTATTATCTGTGTCCAGGGGCAATGTATACGGCATATAGATCATGGGACAGAACAGAGAACCCGCAAGTCGAGCCAAAGCATTATGGTTAATTAATATTTGACAAAGAGGCAAGAGCACACAATGGACTAAGACAGTCTATTCAGTAAATGGTGCTGGGAAAAGTGGACAGGTCCAGGCAAAAAAACTAAACTAAACCAACTTACTCCACACACAAAATGCACAAAAGGGTTAAATATAACCCGTGAAATAATAAAAATCCTAGAATAACATGTAAGCAGCAAAATCTCAGACTTCTCACATAAAAAAACTTTCAGGCATATATGGTTAGGGCAAGAGATACAGTAAAGGATAGGGCTGCACTGCGCAGTCTCTGAAACAAAGCACCATTTTATGCAGAAAGCGTGCCCTACCATTTTTTCTAAGCAGGAAGGGAGGGGGAGGAGGTGAGCAGCTCGGATGCGTGGAACAACACTGCCACCTGCTGGCCAGAGAAACAGAACGGGAGCAAACACACAGTGAAAAGGTCATTTCCGTGACTTCCCTGCTCAGAGCCGGGGGACACGTGACTGAACCAGAACCGGACTACGGCCACATCACAATCAGTCACAGCACACGCCAAGGGGCTATAGTGCAGCAGCCCCCACAAGGCCTCTTTCCTAGTCCCGCCCTAGGAGCCATAGGAACAAAGACAGGAAGTCCCTTGGCCCGAACCGGAAGCTCCCGGAGGCGCCGTGCACTGATTGGCCAGTTGTGCGCACGCGCAGGAAATGCGGGCGAGGTCCCTGCCAGTCTTCCAGCCGCACAGACTAGAGGTTTCCCTGTAGACAGCGTGGGAACTTTGGGCGGAGGGAACTGAACAGTGATGCCCAGGTGCTGTGACCCAACAAAGGCAATCTCCCCACCGCCTCATGTGCAGGACAGTTAACCAATGCCCTCGCCATCCTCCTCCTGCTCCCCTGTCCCTAGCAATGACAGCTCTTCTGTACCACAGAGTCAACTCTCACAGGAGACCACTGCCTCTCACTGTCACCCTCTTGCAACCTCCATGACTACCTCACTCCCCGGCACCCTCTTCCATTCAGTGGAGAAGACGGCAGCAGTGAGGTGACTTCTCACAGGTTCCAAAATCCATCGCCCAGGCTGTTGCCCTGACGGTCTCTGCCGCACCGAGCACACCTGCCCTGACTGCAGCCAGCCTCACCTGTGCCCGGGCTGCCATGTCTTCCCCTGCTCATACCACCCCTCCTCCTGCACGTACCACCCTCCTCCCTCCGGGACCCTCACTGAGCAGGAAGGGAGAGGAACCCGGGGGAGTCTACAGAGCCTGCACGTGGCTTCCTAGGAATCAGGTGTTAGAAGCGAGGTTGTTCGCTTTTCAGTGCGTTCATCATTGTTCCCCAAACAAGAGAGCACGCCCCCAATGCAGGCAGCAGACACCCCTAAGACCCTGAGGGGCCTGAGCACAGACAGTGCTCCAGACGTGGCCCAGGCCTCAGAGGGGATGCTTTAGTGAGGGCGGAGGACCAGGGGTTTCAGGGAGCACTGGGTCCTCACTCCTGCTCCCATTCTTCCTCCTGATCTGCTCCCATTCCTCCTCCTGAAAACCTCCAGCAGCCTCTGGCAGCGACCTCACTGGGCTACTGATCTCACACCCCAAACCCGGCCATCTGAGCGCAGCAGGAGGCCCTGTTAACAACTTACCTGATTCCCCTGGACTTCTAAGCCCTGTTACTGCGGTTCCGAGAACTGCACTAGGGAAGTAGTCTGCTTGGGGCTTTGTGAGCAGGTTCTTTCCAATTTACTGATATCTCTCATCTGTGCTTTCACATCAGCAGCTGGGCAGGGGCGGGGAGGGAATATTGAAGGGGGGGCTTCCCTCACCAGCTCCTGCCCTCGGTGAGTCTGTGCGGCCTCTCCTCTGGCTGGGATCTGTTTTAGGATCCGTCTATGGCAGGCTACACGCTGTCCTGGTCAGAGGCAGGAGGCGGCCAGGCCCCCAGGTCTCCTCTCTCAGGGCAGCCCGTGGGCAGGCTGGGGCAGGCGTGCTGACAACCCGGACTCACAGGTGCTGCTCTGAGGGCACCGGCCCTTTGGTCTGTGTGTTCTGCCCGGCTGTGCTGGTCTTCACCAGCAGTGCCGCCTCTGAACAGGTGTGTGAGGGACAAAGGCCCTGGCCCTTGCTTCTGACCTGCTGGCTGAGCTAACATGCAACATGCGAGTGGTCCTTATTCTTCTTGACTCACCTCCATTCTGAGGTGTCCCATTTCTGACTGCCACCGCTTCTGTAGATTGCTCCCCCTTTGATTGGAACATATGCTCTCTCCTTGTTCTCTCTGATGTTGACGCAAGATTACCCATATTTATGCTGCTCAATGCGGCATACTGTGGAATGTGTTCCTTGTTGAGAACAACAGTTTAAAAAGAGGAGGGGTAGAGTCCTGATGCAAAAATAAACCTTAATATATTTAAATGCATGTTGTGTTTGATGAAAAGAATCTCTAAGTATCTGATCACAAACTATTCTTAATAGTTAATATTGGAGGTTCGGACTGTTTGAATCACTTTATTATATTTTACCTGCTCCTCTTTATCCCCCTCACCCCCCAATTTTGGACAGTGAGGTTTCAGTGCCTGCCATAACTGAAATATACACTGAACTCAGCATATATCCTATGTAATAAAAAGCTAATATGCAAATTGCCCCCTCCACCAGGAGTTTGACCAGCAGGCAGGCCAGCCAACTGCCCATGTCCCCTCCCCCCTGGCCAGGCTGGCCAGACCTCAACCATGCACGAATTCATGCACCAGGCCACTAATATTTATATTCATATTTTGAGTGGC